ATATATATATATATATATATATATATATAAAATATATATATATATAATATATATATATAATATATATACCATATATATCATATATATGATATATATATCATATATATATATACTTCATTTTTTAAAGGCATGCCTTCTGTAAATTTTTAGAAATCAAACACAAATATCAGAACTGTGGAAATCTGAGTTACTAGGTGTTCATCGATGAGGAAGAAAACATACAGTCTGGACTGGGGATAAGACCAATGGACTCTTTGTCCTACAAGCCCTACCACTTGCTATATGACCTTGGATTGCTCTGAGATTTTATTTTCCACATTTGCAAAATGAAGGAGCTGAGCTAAATTATAAAGTTTTTTTTTTTCAGGTCTTACTTTTCTACTTTTTGACAATTATATAAAATTGCTTTTGTTAGGTCTTTTAAAGCTGTGATAACATACAGATTGCTAATAATTAAGGATGATGGGGGCCAGGTGCAGTGGCTCATGCTTCTAATCCCAGAACTTTGGGAGGCCAAGGCAGGCAGATCACATGGTCAGGAGATTAGGACCATCCTGGCTAACTCAGTGAAACTCTGTCTCTACAAAAAAAAGTGAGCCAGGTGTGGTGGCATGGCCCTACAGTCCCAACTACTCAAAAGGCTGAGGCAGGAGAATCGTGTGAGCCCAGGAGGCAGGGGTTGCAGTGAGCTGAGATCATGCTACTGCCCTCCAGCATGGGTGATAGAGTGAGATTCCGTCTCAAAAAAAAAAAAAAAAAAAAAAAAAAAAAGATAACGGGTAGAGAAATTTAAGAAAGTTATAGGAATGTAAAAGAAACATTTGGCCTGCTTATAAAATGAGCATTCACTTTAACAAGAGCTGCTTAATGTACTCTTGTTGCTCTTGAAGATTATTTCTCTTCCCTTCAACAAGACTAGGGATTTATCAAATTAGCTAGAACATATAAAAGAAGGGAGTTACAGAACATGCCATGGGTGATATTACAGTCATTGAGATAATATCTGTGAGGGGAAGATGCTTGATAATTGTGTAACTCATTTAAACCTAGGATATTCAAAAGCAGCTAGTATAAACATAAACCTTGATGAAGAGGAAGATCCACCCTATAGTTGTACCTGTAGTATCCAGGACCGAAGTAGGCACATTATTAACATTCGGAAATTATTTACACAAATCTCATTTTCATTATCATCAACTTCATTTTCAATATGAAAAGTTAACTGTATAACAAATCAAGACACAAATTCCGTGGTAAGTCAACCATGTTTATAAATCACAATCACTTTCAAAACAATTCCATGATATTTCTCTGCAGTCTTTGAAATATTTGCCAGCCTCTTAAGCCAAATTGTTTTACCTTGTTCCAAGGTCTACAAAGGGTGCACAAGGATATTTAATTGGCATTGTGTATATTATTAGAGGATGAAACTTTCTTTTTTTTGAGATAAATGTCTCTGTCATACCCTCTGTGGAGTGCACTTGGAAAATCAGAAAGTAGTGTGTGAACCATTGTGATCTGAACTGAGGATGTTTCATAATGTGTTCCCCAGTATATTTGGCAGTAACCAACTCTGCCAGGAACATATGCCCTCTATAGCCACAGACGAGTTGCATGGCCACAGGTCAGGTGCTTATCAGGTACTTATCAGTCTTCTACAAATATTCGTCTTCATTTTCAATCAAAATCAAATCTCATTTTCAGGAGAAAGGCAAGTCTACCTGCTCAACCGACTTCATT